CAGTGTCATAGCTAGTAAGAGTTAGACCAATAGAGTCCCCATGACCTTAGTCTAACAGTCTAACTTGCCCACAGGCATCCCAAGTTACAAAAGAATTCTTAGAGGAGGTGTCCCCAGGCGAGTTCCAGGGTAGAGTGGGAAGTGCACTGAGTACTCAGGAGAAAAGGCATTCCAGGAAGGAACAAGGTGGAATTGCATTGTCAGAGACGCTTTTGTGTGGGGAGCAATGTGGAACAGTTTGAGATCAGCTGTGTGGACATCTAGGATGAGGTTGTGATACTTAATAGGCATTGTCAACTTGATTAGGCTTAGAATCACCATGGAAACACAACTCTGAATGTGTCCATGAAGGTATTTCCAGAAAGCTTTAACTGAAGAGGCAAGACACATTCTGAATGTGGGTGCCCCCATTCCATGGGCTTGGGGTCCTGGGGCTGCATAAAAAGCAAAAGGTCAGCTGAGCATAAATACTTGTCTCTCAGCTTTCTGTGTAGGCAATGGGACCAATGGTCTCACTTCTGCTGCCCTGATTCCCCAACCATGATGGCTGTATCCTCAAACTGAAAGCAAATATATGCTCCCTCTTTCCCTCCCTACCTCTCTCTCTCTCCATTTCTCCTTCCCTCTCCTTTCCTTCATTGCTTTTGTAGGGTGTCTTTATAGCAATGAAAAAAAAAAGCAGCATGAACAAGTTATAATCTCCCTCACTGACTTACAAATAGAAGTAAGTTAAAGTGTTTAATTAATCATCTGATTAATTGCTTATCAAAGTGTGTGGCAAGATTGGAATGGTTGCCACCTTTATGGTGCAGAATCATAGAAAGTGCTCTCAACCGTGGATTCTAAGTCTTTGAGGATGGGAGCCTCTTAGGATATGATGGGCCTATCTTTTCAATAGGAAATCAGGCTGATGTTTATGAATGTCATCATCAAGATTATAAAGCAGTGTGACCAGTCAACCTAGGAATACTTGTGCATTTTAGATAAATGATAGTTTATGTGAACATTAAATGAGAATTACAGGATCATCTTGAGATGCATTTATAGAAATAAGTGAATTGAATTGAAAGGGGAGGGGAGAGATGTAACTAGTAATTCCAGGAAACGGGAATGGAGTCCTTTGTTCAGGTTCCAGGAACTGTCGGACATGGCAGGTTTCTCCAATGGTGTTGGTGTGTTTCGGCTGAGGTCAAACTGGAAATCAGGCTTGCCTAGGAGGTAGAACTTGGAGATGTATTTCCTTGTCTGTTCCTAAGTTTCCATTGGCCCCTTTAAGTGAAGGCCTGGAAGGCTGTGGCTGCTTCTTGTTTCTATCAGACTGACAATGTGGAGGGCAGATCAGGGAGGAGGAGAGGTACTGGAACAGAGTGGGATTAGCGGGTAATGTGGAATGGCTTCTGTGGTCGACCAGGAGGGACGAGAACCTGACTGTGCTGTTTCCCTGACCACACTTCTGGACAATGAAATCCAGTTGGTATACCATACTAAAGACATTGATTCATAGACTTTTTCTGGGGAGGTCTCACAATATTTCTGTCAGTTCCTGGGGAGGTCAGGGCAGATCTTTTTGATACAAACTGGTCAAATTCCAGGGCTTGGATTCTGTTTTTTGTTTTTGTTTTTTTTTCACCCAAGCTGTGACGGCTGTGCTTAGAGCTGGAGACTGAAGCTGCTCTATTTTCCCAATGTGGCTTTTCTCAGAAGGCCCTGCCAGGGGTCTTCACATTCTTTCAGGAGCCTGAGAACACTTGGTTTGTTCCCCTCTGCTCCCACCATTCCCTGCTGGTTGCTGCCAGTATTAATAACACACAAGAGGCTTCACATCAGCGTGGGGGCTGTGAGGATAATTATGCAGTGGTTTAGGACCAACCGGTAAATTACTCCTTGACCTGGGAATTCAGCAGGTTACCAGCTTCACTCTGGCCTGCTCACTTTATTGCTCTCCCCTCCTGCGGCACTGATACTCATTTGTCTGGTTTGCATTCAGGTCTTTGCTCTCACGATGATGACATCTTCTTTCTTTTTCCTCTTCCTTCTCTACCTCCTCTTCTCCCCCCTCCTCCAAAGTCTAAGAGGTGAGTAATAGCCCTTTTGTGGAGACTGCTTATTAGGTCAATGGGATGCCCTGGTGACCTGGCAACGGGACCTTTTTGAGCTTTTATTTCATTGCAGTCATTTGGTGCTCCCAGGCACGCTAGCACCTGTCTTCCATGGTGCTCACCAACACATTTCAACCTTTCTCTCATAGCTGCCACACTCCACTAACATGCCTGTGCGTGTAACATAGCATAATGTGAAAGGAAAAGGCAGGGAAAGCTCTTCCATCACTCCCGACTCACCCTCCAGCTGTTCCGAATGATAGCAGCACACACTGTTTTCCCAATTGTGATGATCTTTCTGGCACATTTGAATACATGCTTCCCTTTATCCAGTGCATTCTTTGCCTTCTTTCACACACTTATTCTCATCCTCCATAGCTTCTCCAGGGAGCCTCTCAGTTTGGGTAGTACACATAGCCATACATTTTGTTTAGAAGGACACATGGGCAGATATATGACTAAATATATCAATTGTTTGACTAGCTGGCTGGGGACTTGGGAACAATATGACTGAAAAGCTGGTGAGAAAGATGTCTGTGGATGGGGTACATAACTAGATATCTCACAGTGAGCAGCAGATGTGAAGACACTTGCGTCCCATATTAAATGTTCCCCCAAAGTCAGGGGTGGACTCCAACAATCAAGTATATAGGATGATCATTTCCGTGCATAGAAAGTAGTAAATTTGCTCAGCTGCCCCTGTCATTGTTTAATGGGCTCACAAAATCATCATGGTGGCAGAAGTAGAGGTTAAGAATAGGCTCTACTCACCAAGGATGACCTGGCTATAGATGCTACAACAGAGAGAGCAATATTGAACCTTCCAACAAGGCACCAATCCTTCAGGTGACCAACCAATGACCTGGTGACATAGGACTACTTCCATAACGAAAAGGGCATTGCTTTATCTTGAATGGAATAAATACTTATTCTGAGTATAAATGTACCTTTCTTACACATAATTCTTCTGTCTAAATTGCCATCCATGTTTGTACAGACTGCCTTAACCTCTATTACAGCTTTCTATGCAGTGTTGTTTTTGACTAAGGAATGGACTTCACAGCCAAAGAAGTGTGGCAGTGGTCTCATGCTCATGGAATCCACTGGTCTTACCATATTCCTTACAGCTCTGAAGCAGCTGGCTTGATAGGACAGTAGAAGGGTTCATAATGACAGTTAAAGTGTCAATTGGATGTCACTGATCTAGAGGACTGGGGAAAGTTCTCCAGAAGGCAGTGCATTCTTTGAATTTTAATTCAGTTTATTGTATTGCTTCCCCCATAGCTGGGATGTGTGGGTTTAGAAACCAAGGGATGGAAATAGGAATGAAGAGGTGAAAATAATCAGCTAACTAGCTAAATTTTTGTTTGTTGTTCCTGTGATCTTATGTTCTCATGGTCTAGAAATATTGTTTTCAGAGGTGGGAGTGCTTCTATCAGGAGGCACAGCCAAGATTCCTTTGATTGAAAACTAAGATCACTGATCCCATGGATACTTTGAGGTCCTGGTACACTTGAGTCAACACACTAATAAAGGAGTTTCAGTGTTAGAGGGAGTGATTGGTTTAGACTATAAAGAGGAAACTGGGCTGCTTCTCCACCAGTGGAGGTAAGGAAGAGTGTGTCTGTAGTACAAGAGATGCTTACTGCATTTCTTGGTGTTACGATGTCCTGTGATTAAGGTCAGTGGGAAATCACAACAGCCCAATCCAGGCAAACATGATAAATGATCTAGATTATTGACAAGTGAAGATTTGAGTGTACCCCCAAAGAACCAAGATGAGGTGTAGAAGAGAAGGGCATCTTGATCATTTTCTGTCAAATTGGCCTAGGCATGGGATCTGAGGGATGTTCTTCCCCTATTGGTGAAACAGCTATTCTATCTGTGAAGAACAACCCTGGACCAGGTGACATGCTAGAGGGAAGGACCCAGGGAGGAGACCAGAAGGCGTGAGAACCTTCTTGGATGGGAGGGGCTGAGGGATTAAGGGTTGGTGGGAGGAGGAAAAAGGCATAGAAGCAGTTGCCATCAGGAAGGAAAGAGAGGGCACTGTTGGAGGAGGGATCTGCCATCTTTGGATGAAGGAAGATAGAGGCATGGCAGGGTCTGCATGGAAGACTCAGCTATCCCAGGAAGGATGGGTTGTAAGGGCAATGAGGAGAATGGGATGACCAGAGAGCAGAGTAGCCTGGAGTCGGTTAGGCAGGCATAATTGAGGCACAGAGCCAGAACAGCCTGCAGGAGGGCAGAGAGATCTGTCTAGTCTTGCTCCATTTCCTGAGGCTGAGTTTCTTTCACTTCTCTTAGCCTGCTTCCTCTTTTATGAGTAGAAATGACAATCACACAGGGTGCACACATTTGGTTGAGTGAGGCCATGTCACATTATGCTACCACGACCAACGATGATTGCCAGTAAATTGCCTTGGAGTCTTTATTGATGCCATTATGTAGGATTTACTGAGAGCAGAGATGCTGCAATGGGGCTGAGATGGTGGTGCTAGCGGCTTGGCGGTGACAACAATGAGGCAATCATTTTTGTTTGTTTGTTTGTTTGTGTGTGTGTTTTTGCGAGACAGAGTTTCTCTGTGTATAGCCTTGGTTGTCGTGGAACTCACGCTGTAGATCAGGCTGGCCTCGAACTCCCGAGTGCTGGGATTAAAGGCACCACCCGGCTCAATGAGGCAATTAAAGCCTGACTGAAGGAGCTACCGTGGGCTTCCGGAAGCCATAGATTGATGGGGCGAGCCTTGGCTGCATAAGGGCCGACTTGGAGTACGGCCAAAGGAAGGTAGGCTGGAAGGAGGATAGATGGTGTGAGAGGGAACCAAGCTGCCTGGTTTTTGGCTCTCAAGGGAGCCTGCAGCCTGGAGCTATGGGCTGGACAGGCGCGCGCTTCTGCCGGTGGCCGTCTCTCTCTGCCACCCGCCCTGTTGGCCAGCCTGAGCCATGGGCGGCCTGGCTTTCCTGCTCCTGCCTTTCCTGGCACCTATGGCCACCACAGCTGTCAATCCAGCCCTAAGAGCCCTTGCCAGCCTAAACTTGCAAGTCTTCCCCACATTCCAACCGAATGAGGTCAATAACTACTCAGTTTATTACTTCGAACAGAAGGTAATAGGGGTTGGGAGCTCAAGGTCCCAGATCCCAACCACTAGATCGTCTAATCGCAGAGGCCGGACGCCAGGGCCCACCCCGAAACCCAGACTTCTTGATGCCTAAGACCTGCTGTGTCTTTGCTCACAGTTCACGGAAGCCAGGCATTCAAAATTTCCTCCCATGACCACTGACTTAATACCGCCCCTCCCCCACCAACGGAAATGTATTCTTTCCCAGTTCTGGAGGTCAGGCCCCCAATACTTTAAATTTTTGCTCATCTGTAGCTGGCTGGCCACCACTAACCCTGTGCCCAGCCAAGGGCCTCTACCTGAACTCCCTTTACTTTCTCCAAATTCAAATCGCTGGGTGCCAGCCTGGGCCCCTAGCTTAGCATGACAATCATCCTTTGTCCTGTGGCGGCCCCTAAACATGAATTCTAATGCCTGTACCTTTGAGATAATGCAGAATATCAATCAAGTCTGGAATGCCAGCCTGTCATCTTTGTATCAGGTGGCCTTTGTAAAGGTGGCCTTCTGGGCATTTAGTAGACCTGTTCCTTCTACCGTGGAACACGTGGGCTCATCGTGCAGAGTGAAGGTCTGTGCCCAGATCTGAGGTGGATATTATGTTCAGTTCTCTTGCCTATAATCTGAGTCCAGAGTTTCATGAAAAGCTTTGTGGATGTCTAGTTCTTGGCTTATGGCACGAGTCTGAATGGAAGAGGACCCAGGTCCTGTGACAAGGAGTCCTAACAATTCTGCATTTCTAGGAGTCAGATTAGAAGCATGCATGCTTGTGGAAGACACTGGAATTAGAAGGAGTGCCAGGCTCTGCTAGTGAAGTCAGACCAAGAATCCACCCTGCTAACTCTGTAGCTTCGGACAGCTCACAAACTGAGCCGGGTTTCCCCCATGCTGGAGTGGTTAATATTGGTTAAGTAAGAGCTGGTATGTTTCTAAGCAGAGAAATTCAGATTTCTTAAATAGTCATTTACCAATGAATGGGTATAGGCCCGTGTTAAGTTTGAGTTGGAATGTGGGATGGAGGCATGCCATGTCTTTCCAGAATGATTTATGGGAAATGATTTTTAAACAAAGACGGTACTGGTGAAGGAGAGGAAATATTTTAATTTTACTAGAGGTACCAAGAAATGGAAATCCTTTCCTGGGGCTGCTGTTTCAGGCCTTTAGGCAGTATAGTTTCTGCCTTTGTAAAACTCCAGTGTGTTTTATATGTTGCTGAGGAAATGGAGTACTCTTTGGGGAAGTCAGCCCCAAGGGAAGTAATAAGTGGTGAATGTTAGGGGACCCAGAACCTCTTCTCTCTCTGACCTTTTTTCATTAGGAATATTTATTCATTTTATGGGTGTGGGGTTGTCTGTTCAACATCCTATCACTAAAACACTAAAAGTCAAACTGAGAGAAGACTGTTGGAATAGATCATCTCTAAAATCCTTTTGGGAATGATGAAAAGAAGTTATAGAGGTAAACTGCACTTCTGCTTCTACTTCTTCATTGTAATTTCCTTTGTCAGACACTTAATTCTTTAGAAATGTAATTTAGTACTGTATCAGTTTCCATTTTTGGTGGTTTGCAAAATCTGTTTGGCTCAACTGAGCAATCTTTACCTACTAGTTTGGATTTAGTTTATATTTCAGGTCATAGGTTCCATATTATCTATTATCATAGAGTAAATTTTCTTGAACTATAATTGAGGTTTATTACATTTTAAAGAAATGTATACATATATTTATTGCATAGTCATAGTAGCTGTCTATTTCTGGTCTCTATGTTAACTAGAACTGCTATGGGGTTACAAAATTGCTCTGTGTTAATCTTTTTAATAGAGCACACAAAATACATTATGTTATCTCTTTACCTATTCTTTCCCCTTTTGGGGCAGTACTGGTGATTAGATTCGGGTTTTGTGCAGGCTAGGAAAATGTTATAGCTAGCTTTAATTGTCTCTCACAGCTTAAAGTCACCTGGGAAGAGTCTCATTGTTGGTGTATAAGCTTGTCTGTGGCGTGGGGTATTGTCCTAGTAAAGATACAGCACATTGTGGGCAGCAACATTCCTCGGGCAGGGAATCTTGAACTGTGTATGATTGGAGAAACTGATCAGAGTACGGGCAAGTGGACATGTGTGCATTTGTTTCTTCTGCTCTTGACTGTGGGTGTGGTGTGACTAGCTGTTTGAAGTTCTTGTCTTGACTTCCTCACATAGTGTGTCCTCAAACTTCAGATCTTTCTGCCTCCCACTCCTGTCCTCACTTGGGTTCTGAAATTACAGGCATACACTGTCTCAACTCTTTTTTTTTTTTTTTTTTTTTTTTGGTATTTATGAGACAGGGTTTCTCTGTATTGTTTTGGAGGCTGTCGGTCCAGCCTGGCCTCGAACTCACAGAGATCCGCCTGCCTCTGCTTCCTGAGTGCTGGGATTAAAGGCGTGCGCCACCACCGCCCGGCTTTTATTATTTTTTTATTTTTAACTCTTTTATGCCTTTTAATAATAAAAATGTCATTATAGTTAGAACTTGGCTTGTTTAAGTTTTTGCTTTTTATCAAGCTTGAAAATGGTGTCTTTGTCTGTGATTATGTCAGTCCAGGAAACCAAGCTAGTCCTGGAGGTCTTTATATGCATAGAAAGGATGTTTTATGGAGTAACCCCTGTAAGATATAACCTGTTGCTTTGTCCTTTCCCTGTTTAGAAATCCCTCATAACTTAAAAACATTATTTTATGGCTATAGGTGTTGTGCCTACTTGTATGTCTGTGTTCCATTTATGTATCTGTACCTGAGGAAGCCAGAAGACAGCATGAGATCTCCTGAAACTGAAGTTACAGATGTTTGTGAAACGACATATGGGTTCTAGGAACTGAACCCAAGACCTCTGGAAGAGCAGCCAGTGCTCTTAACTGATGAATAGTCTCTGTATCTTCTTTATAACACTGATTGCTTATAGGATAAAGGCCAAACTCTTGGGCCTAGAATCCATTGTTCCTCACCATACAATTTTGGCTTTGTGCTCTGCTCCAGGCTCCTGTTCTTGCCACACATTGCTGGTGTAGCATCCTGGAGTATGAGCTCCCGGCATTTTATTGTTTGAGATATTCTGTTTGGAATATCACTCATATTTTCTATTTTTGTCATCTTTTTTTTAGATGTGTCCTCCTATCTCAGTCAAAATGCTGCCTGTTTTGTGAAATCATGACTTTAGGGCAATTTGGCTTGTCTTTTTTTCCTTTTGTATCCTTAGTATTCTGTATGTATTCTTCCAGCTTGATAGCATCCTCCAGTACTCCCAGTAAAAGAGCCTATAAAAAGTGTAAGGGTTTTCCATTTCCAGTTTGAGAGGAATGTTGGGAAATAGGTGATGGGTGCCATGATTAGCCACAAAGGTAATGAGAAAAAGGTTTCCAGGCAGCCAAGGCAACAGGCCAAGGAATGGGCACGATAGAAGTTTCAAGCTGCAACAGAAAGAGGAGATGAAGGAATAAATGGAAGGAGATAAAGTCAAAAGGCTAGAGACACTTTCCATCCCACCCTTGATACAGGAGGAAATAAGAAATCTAGGGGAAAGTCCGTCATTTCTCATGTGTGAGGTTACACTGGCACCATTAAAACCCCTGTCATCATTGCCATCATATCGTTTTCCACCTATAGCTAAAGTGTTTTGTTGGAGTCTTGTTGTACACTTAAGAATTTTTAAAAAAGCATAAAATGTAAAACACATTGTTGGTATCACAATAAGGGGTGAGTCAGGACTAAGGAATATTATTCAAGGAGCAGGGCTACCACTATGGAATTGACACAGATAATTGTCTATTGTTCTATTAACAAAACACTTCTCCAATTGAAAACTATAATTATTTTAGTACTTTTAATTAACTTTTTTGATCTTTTGAGACCAGGCCTCATGTAACCCAGGCTGGTCTCAAGCTTACCATGTAGCTGAGGATTACATCAAACTCCTGATCCTCCTTCCTCTACCTCCTGAGTGCAGGAATCACAAACATGTACTACCATGCCCAGCTTCTATTCTTGGTTATTTCTATTTAGTTTTCAAAATCTTCAAATGTTGCCTTAGTAGGAATAGTTGATTTCTTCTACTTGAAGTAAGTGAATCAGGAAAGCCAAGGAAGGATGTGACAGGATGTCTGGGCACATCAATTCTCTAGGCACCCATGAAGCTAGTCACAAGGGCTCCAGCAGTGTCTGGCTCATGATTATGATGTCTCACTAATTGCTGGTTTCTATTTCACTCCAAGTCATCAGGATAGAATGAGTCCTGACTTCACTGCTAGCAGCAGAGTCTCACAGGCAGGCTACCTGGTTACGTATCTTCTTGCTTAGGAGAAATCTTTGTTACAGTCATGCCTTAAACATGTATCTCATGATGCCTACTTAAGCTGGGGAGGATGTGGGGAAGAGGCAACACACACTGATTTATATACTAATCTCACCCACACAAAACCAAAGACACGCTGGGCGGTGGTGGCGCACGCCTTTAATCGCAGCACTCGGTAGGCAGAGGCAGGCGGATCTCTGTGAGTTCGAGGCTGGGCTGGACTGACAGACTCCAAAACAATACAGAGAAACCCTGTCTCATAAAAACCAAAAAAAAAAAAAACCAAAACAAACCAAAGACACAATAAAATAGTACCGTCAGAGAAATATCCAAACTTGTGTTTGACTAAATATCTGCTTACCATAACTCATCCACACCTACAGATAAAATTAACAAACATACCTACCAAAATGTCAGGTTTCAATGTTGTAACAGTTGAAAGTACATGGGATCCCTGGAACATGGAAAAAAAATTTAAAGGAACTTAATAGAATGACGACTCTTCCCACTCCCTCAATATCCTAAAACCATGCTAACTGGGGACTTCAGTGATTGGGCCTCTTTTAGTAAACTAATGGTCAGTCATCTGCACCCAGCTATTCCTCTTAACTGCTGGTCAGCATTTCTGTTAGTCTGTGCCATGTTCCAGCGTCGACCTCATGGCCT